AATTGGACATCATCATTCAGATACTTCCAAGTGGCTCTCACCTTTTCATACTCCACATAGGAATATGGTAGATCATGCTGGACTATCGTCTTAGCTACCAGCTGCCTAAACACAAGATGATCATACTTGCGAGGTTGTAATTTGCCTTCACCATCGAGCTTCATCTTGCCGTTCATCCTTGTTATATTTTTGCATCTCCGTGTGTGCCTTATCAACGCCGAAGTTCCATGCGAGTGGGAGCTCCAGGCATACTCATTCTTACAGTGAATGCATTTAGCCTTCTCCTCGCCATTGGGTTTTCGAATCACAACAAAATCATCCCAAACCTTAGACCTTTGCCTACTCTCCCTCTTATTGTCATCAGAATCATCACCCACGTTAATATCCTCAGATTCCTCACCAGCCACTGGCTGCTTAGACTCCAAAGCTTTCTTCTTTCCATTATTTGGAGTCGGCTTTGAAGACCTTCTTCCTCCACGTATTATAGCAACACTCGGCTTTTTCTTGCTTTGAGTAGCCTTTGAAGAGGTTGCAAATCCACTCCCTGATCCGAAACTAAATTGCTTGCGAGGCTGGGAGGATTGAGTTGGAGGAGCGGTGATTTCGACTTCATCTATTGAAATGACACCTTCGGCTATTAATAATTGTGGTACTACATAGATTCAAATATACTACACTGTGATCAGGGGATGTCATTTCCAACAAAAAGGTAAAAGATAAACATAAGGAATCATTTGGTGATGCAGTAATCCTTTTCTCGAAATTCCACTGACCAAGAAGTAGTTAACAGTTGTTTACAAGAAATAGTTTTCTAAAAAGGAAAAACGAATTTTCTTTTCTTGATTATTGTATGGTTTTGCAACTAGATCGAGGACCTCAAAGTTTGAGAGATCGACGTTCGGTGTATACGTGCGAATTACAACATAAGTGGGGGACACATTCTTCAATTTTAAAACGTAAACGTAATTATCTCACACAATTAAAATATATTTTCTCATCTTTCGAACAGTTATATAAAATTAACCAAAGTCGGTTAGATTCGACTCATCATTAACAGTTTGACTATACATATCATTTGTTTTATATGGATTATGCTGAACACGTCAACAATAGTTTATGTCGCATACACTCAGCTCCACAGCTATGATTTAAGCATCTTTCATGAACGAGGACAAACATAATGGGTATCTTTTATTATATTGGTTTGGGTAAATAGATCAAACTCTCCTTTATCTTTTCTTTAATTGGTATTCTTCTTTTTCTTTTTGTTTTGTTGTGAAACCCAATAGGAAAAAGCAACACCTGATTAATTTCCCATCTCATTATTATTTCTCATCGTAACACCATCTACTAAAATCCTCTTCATTCTTTTAACACTCATTTCAAAACATCAGGGTCTCTTTATTATTCCCCGGGCATGAACGTTTGAATGTGTGTGATAGAGGGAGAGAGAGAAGAGAGGTTATGGCTATTGAAGTTTGCTGTTCAGAGGCTCCTGATTCTGGAACCAGCCCAAGAAACTCTTTCTCCTATGATATTGACTCAACGGACGGTGAAGTCAGATTAGACTCGACGCTTCTTGACTCAGGTTCGGATTTAGATTTCTGCTTTGGCTCGAGTTGTTCTGTTCAAGAAGTGTCTCCTGCTGATGAACTCTTCTCCGATGGCAAGATTCTTCCTGTCCAGATCAAGAAAGTAACCTTTCGGGTTCAAAGATCAGCTTCACTCTCATCATCATCATCTTCTTCTTGCTCTTCCTCTTCTTCATCATCAGCACCGGAAAAGAAGATCATGAGACTCAAAGATCTTCTGTTGAATCCTGAATCTGATATCGAAGACAAGGAGCCAAAGGGACTGTTCTTACAGTTCAAGAGAAGCATAAGTCTCAACTACGACAAGAGCCGTAACAGCAGCGGACTAATCAGATCTCTTCATTTCCTCTCACGAAGTAACTCCACAGGCTCTGCTCTAAACCCTAAACCTAACTTGCTTCCCAAGGACCCTCACAAAACCCACAATCTTCCTAAACAAACGTCTCTTAGAAGATCGTCTTCGCTCTCAGCTTCAGTCCCTTACAAGAAACCACTCGCTAGAAACAGTTTCGGTAATGGAAACGGTGGAGTAAGAGTTAGTCCGGTCTTAAATTTCCCGCCGCCGGCGTTCATCTCGAACGTCGCAGAAGGATTTTTCAGCATTGGATCTCTATGTAACGGTAAGACAAACAGGAAGACAAGATTATGAAAACATCTTTTGGTCTTTTGTGGCCGGGCAGGAGTAACAGAAAATGTCTTTTATTTATTTTTATTTTTTACTGTTGGTTGTACAATGATGGAATATCGACAGCTCATGTGAAGATTAGACATCATGTGAGTTTTGTCTATAACCACCAAGAATAATTGACGAACTAAGCGTATAGACGGTACTATAAGAATAGGAACAACCCCTCGTTTCTTTGGAGTAAGACTAGAGTATTGTTAATGTTCAGATGTGTAAACAAAATTATCAAGAAATAAGATTATGTGTAGAGAAAAAATGGATCAGCGTGGTGAATAACTGACTCTTAAGTGTCTAACTGTTTTTTTTTTATGTTGCTCCAGAAATAGTAAGAGCATCTTTATTCTTAAAACATTGCTCAAACTTTTATTAATATAAGAGAAATACTTTATGATAGCACTAAAATTTTTTTTATCACAAATATAATTCATAAAGATAAAAATGACCAAAATATGTTATATTAAAGAGATATTTATAAAGGTTAACTAATCTATATTTACGATTTAGATTTGAAAGTAAGGTTTGGGGTGAGTTTAGGATTTAATATATATATATATATATATATGTATATATTAAGATTAATTTAAAAAAAAAAACAATTATCAAAATATTTTTGAAAAGAGTTTCAGGATTTCAAAATAAAATTTTCAAAAAAATATCAGATTTTTTGAAACAATCAAAAGGTTTTGAATTGAATTATTTACTTTCAGAAAATATATTTATTTATTTTAGTATTTATTTATATTTATAGAGTAAATTTATAATTTCATTTACAAAATTAATTCATAAAAAATTATAGCACATTATTAAAAGTAGAAAACCCTATTGTTTAGGACTTTTACTTTTGAAACTTTAAAATAGTGAATTTACAAAATATTTGGGTATTATTTTTATGGCTTTTTAAAAAAAAAATCTAAAGTCTGAAATTCTAGCTTTTAAAGAAAGTAAAGAAACATGAAGTAAAAAAAAATGAGAAACTAGACTTTAAGTAACCTTACGAAAATAAAAGTGTGATTGGTAAAATATTTGGTTTTGGAGACTTTAGTTCAAATTCTAATCCTCAATTGAAGCCTAAACTTGTAAAAGCAAAGTCGATGATAACCCTTTGGTTAACTAGACTGTTCGGAAAAATGATAAACCGTTTAGAGCACTTTCATTGTAAGGCGCTTAGGACAAAATGTAAAGAGAGGGGCCTACATAAAAACAAAATCCGACGCTTTTGTTGCCCACATAAACGCCCGATTTTCGTGAGTGCTTGGCTTGTTCTGTGGGCCTATGACACACAGTGGCTCGCGATTAGTTTTTTTTTTTTTTTTTAGTCTGGAAAGCAAAAAGAAAAATTTCTTTTTTTTTAAAGTATTTTTCTTTTTCAGTTCCATGATGAAAGTGCTCTTAGGAGTGGGCTATTAGGCTCACAGAAATTCAGAAATCAGAAACAATCAAACGCGGGAAAATGGAAAATAGTCCACTTTACGTATAACATACACTCCTTGAATATGCAGCTTCTTATATAAAATGCACCTTTTAGGTTGAGCCAAAATATTTATGTATAGATAATAAGTCATTGAGAGTATTTACTTCAAGAAGCGAGATAAGGAAGAACGTTGGGAAGAGAAGATATGTTGTTAAGTCAAATAGTTAATTGTAACAGAATCCTTGTACTATAAGAGGATGATTGGGGTCATTTACATTTATGCGTTTAGTGGACGTCTCTTGGGCTTGAATACTCTGAGTGTAGAGCATTCGAGATTGGGGTCTTGAGATTGTTAGACTTCGATAATTGTGACGTTGACTTGAGGGAAATAAAGTGGTTGAGTTCTTAACAATAGAATGCACCCATTAAGAGATTCATGCCGGCAAAAAACACACACACAAAAGTCTTGACTGAGCTAGAATGGCGTTGAGTTACAAACTTAATCGACGGTAGGCAAGCGCGGTTGCAGTAATGCAAAGGAAAAATATCGATCCATTAGGTGAAAATAGAGCAATGGCCAAAAACAAACACACAACAATAGTCTAAATGTTAATCTGTGGAGCTTGGACAGTCACCGAAAGCAAGATTTGGTCAAAATGTTTTTCTCTTCTTGATTATTTTAGGCAGTTCGTTGCTGATTTACGGAAAGCAAGTGAATGTTCTAATAACATCAGAAGTTCAGAACTTACTTACTTCTCCCATATTATTCAGCCATTTGGAACAGAACAACCCAAACTAACAAAAGAACAGCTAAATAAACAAAACTGAGATTGAGAAAGAAAAAAAAAACTAACATATATAGCTCCAACTTCAAGACATTCAACAAGTCAGCAAAATAAGGCTGCAAACTTCACCTAGAACATATCATCATCATCAGCATCATCGTCTCCACAGAATTAGTAACCAAATAAGTTTGACTACTTCCAAAAAAAAATATATATCAAAAATCAAATTACAGGATTGTCAAACATGATACCTTTCCGTTCTCAGCGGCCTCCTAGACTATAGTAGATATCTTCAGTAACCTCCTCACAAAAATAAAAAGCTGGATGCAACAACTGTACCCATCGAAACAATAATAAATCAGAATTCAAAAAAACTACAACAAAGAAGAAGAGAGAGAGTTCAGAGTTGGATATACGTTGATCTTTTTCTGAAGTGTTCTAGGACGTTTCTTGGGTCGTCGCCGTGGTGGATGACCCATCATCATCATCATATCATCTTCCACCTCTTTCTTAGACAACGTGGAGATAAACTTGGACCTCATCGACATACCCACTCTTTCCTCCTCGACAATAAAAGGAGCCTTGCACACTTCTCTTCTCTTTCTTAACTTCCACGGCTTCACCTCCACGGCCGGAGAAATCTCTCTTTCCATCTCTTTCCGTTGTTCTGATTCACTCTCCTCTTCGTAAACCCTAAACATCGACTCCTTAACTGTTCTAATATCCATCATCAGCTTCTCCCTAAACTCCTCGAGCCCTACCTCGCTACCTCCATTCCGGTAGTCAACGGCGGCGCTGGAGGCACCGTCGACCTTCATGCACCTCATGTTTTGCTGAAACCCCCAGCTCGAGAACGTGAAATTGTGGAGAGTCTTCCTCGGTCTCTCATGGTTCGTCGCCATGCAGTCTCGCTCACCAGGAAATACCATTGATCTGCTCTCTCTAAACCTCTCACGGGCTTTCGATATTGTTTTGATGCCGGAAGAGAGAACAGAGAAGGAAAGAGTTGTATATATACGAGTGAGGATTAGCTTATTAACCGTCCGATTGTTTGACATTGTCATCAGGGTAACTCACTGCATAACCCTCACAGGCGAAGGGTTTGTCTTGGGCCTCGCGTTTACAATTCAATCTCGGCTTACTTGCATCATATATGTAGTATTTTATTTATTTATTAGGGTTTTAGGTTAATTATATATATAGATTATTGCATTCAAACTTAACTTGGTACATACGGTAATGAGCAAGTTAGGTTTTATAGTTGAGACAAAAATACTAATATGCTGTTTATCACTGTCTCACCAACTAGTCATAGCCTTGTAATCTGTTTTTTTTTTTTTTTAATTATTATACAGAATTCTTTAACTAAAAGATATTTAACTCAAACAACATTTCAACATATATTGCTTTGGTATCACTTATAAATTTATGTTAAGATAACTTAGATTCTTGAGAATAGATAGCATTCCTATTTTGAAAAGCGTAAGTATGGCAGCTCCACCATTTAATTATCGAATGATATGTGTTCTATTTTTTTTTTAAAGTATCTGTATCCAGTAAAGCTTGAAGGCATGATTATAATTCATTTATTTTTTTATATTTCAACTCCTATATATATTATTTTAGTGATTTGTTTTGTATTTTGTTCTAACACTTTTTTATATCAATATATTGATTTGCCAAAAAAATGAAAGGACCGAAAAGAGAGACAATATATCTGTGCTTAGGTATAATTTTACCAAGTATTTTTTATTTGAAAGAAGAGAAGCTATATAACAAAAGTTAACCAATTTTGCCTATATAGATATATCTGGAGGAGAGAATATTTATAGCCAAGGCAAAAGGGACTTTATATATGAAAAGGTAGGTCTTAATACATAAACTATATAGCAAAAGTTCCTCCAACGGCTACTTAATACATTACACATATAACTGAAAAAGTAGGTTGTAAAAAGGACGAGCGACCATGACTTTTTCACGTGTTGGATTGGCGCTCCTGAATAGATCTACGAACTCAAAACTTTTCATCTCTTATAAATCTTGAACATTAACGTTCCTTCTAAGAAACCTTTTTTTGCCAAGAAAAACCTTTAAATTAACCTTACAATCAAAATGTTCGAAAGAAGACGACCCATATTTCAGAGAGTCTCAAAAATACTAAAAGTCTCGATCTTGAGAAAACCAATCATCCCAAGACTCAATCTTCCTATAAAACAAAGAAGATCAGCCAAGCGGGTCAAGCTCCTTCAGCAATACAACTACAAGTTTCTTCAAGAGTATCAACTTTCACCTTCACCCACATCCCTTAACCGATTCCGTAGGAAGCGAATTCGCATATCTAAGTTGGGTCTTAAACACATTTACAGTTTATTGTTTCTTTCACGGTGCATCGACCGGTCCAATAATGAGCATGTTGTTGATACAATACCACACAATTGGATGGAGATAGAACCTCTGCATTGTGTCCATGGAGTTGCTTCTCCGTCAAGGGAGACTTCACAGCCCTTCGATTACTTCAGTGGAGATGATTCGATTGACCTGAAGGCGGATAGATTCATCGAAAAGTTTTACAATGAGATGAGGTTGCAAGAGCGGGATTTTGCTTGATTAAGTTTTTTTTTTTTTGCTAAAATTTGGTACGTGATTAAGTTATATAGTTAATTTTTGAATCTTGTATTCGTTATTTTGTATTATTTTAATTTCCCCCTCATTTGTATTATTAATTTTCCCTCATCAGATATCTGAGATGGTGAATATTTATTTTTCTCGATTTTGGTATTTTTTTTATTTAAGTGATCACTCAATTTAAGACTATGAACTGGTTTAGGTGTTTGGGCTTGCTGGATTGTGGTATTTTTTACTTTACTTTTTGTGTTCAGTGGGAAATGGGGATGCATACGTGCATGCACGATACATTATTGAAGAAACATGTTGAGGTTTAATATTGTACGGAGATGAGAGTATTTGCATGTGCAATGCGTAGTTGTCAGAGTGGGTATCTTTTAGATTAGGGTATAAAAATTGACAGCGAGTTATACTTTGATGATTCCTTAAACAAGACACATGATTCAGCATAAGATCACGTTTTGGGGCTCTGAAAAAAGTTTCCCCTCCAAAAGGGCACATTTTACAGATACGCACCATACCATCACCAAGGATGTGGGTTCTACTCCCTGGATTTATACGACAGATTCATAGCCATTGGCTACTTTTTTGTATTCATTGACAAAGAGTTGCACATGAAAATTACATAGACGCATTGCACTAGGATTTTCATAGGACATGTGTTTGTGATAGTGAGAGAAACTGTGGAAACGCCAATTTTCCCAAAGTGGTAGAAAATCAAGTGTTATCTACGTGGGACGTTCGGATACTAAACTTAAAATTGATCAATCCAGTTCTTTAAATTTTTGGAGAAAAAAAATGCTCTAACCAATCAATCTTCAAAAGTACTTATATTTTAAAAAAAATTTGAGCACAAAAATAGTACTGCCCAGCTGCCCCAATTTCCATAACTCATGATACCATATACTATATACAATATACGTGTGCCTATTGCATAATTTCAACTCCTAAAACAATGATACTTTGTCTTGTATATAAATTATTGGGTCATGGTGACCAGGATCCCATTTCATCTTTAAACATGAAATCTGCTGGCCAACCTCCCTACATATTAATATATATCATATGGTAGATTAGAATAATGTATTTATCTCAAATTCCGGGATACGGGGACTCTCTCCCTAGCTTGTGATATGTAATATTTTCTAAATGTAACGCCATACATTTGTAAAAGAATGTGTTATTCTTTTGGTATTACAAATAAACATTAATATGAAAATATAGTTCGTTCGTTTCTAAATGTCAGCTGAGCGTTAGCTTCCTCCACTGTATAAGTGCTTGTATTTTGTATCATAGCCTTTTGTTTATTACACATATGAGCTTTCAATATGTAATGTCGCACAAACGTATGATCATCATATTAACCTCAAGTTACACAACCATTTAAGAGCATCCGTAATGGTGTTACCCATGAGAGTCCTTAGTTTTTGATTTATTAATTATTATTCTTTTCTTTTCCAGATTAAAAGAAAAAGATACCAACCAATCACGAATCGCTACGTGTCCTGAGAGCCCGCAAATAGTGTAAAGATTCGTTTAAAAAAAATCTTTATTTAAAGATTTTAAGGATTGAATCCTTCATTTTGGTGGAATTAATTGATTATTTAATTATTTTTTTCCTAAAGATTCTTCCTTAAAGATTTACTAGATCATAACCCACCCGACTGGGCGGGTCTTTGTTTTTATGGTATATATAACATTTCAAAATTACAATTTAATGGTGCCAATTTTACTAAGTAATAGTATATTGTTTAAATATTGTATTTCATTATTGTATTGTGTAACAGGGGCATCTTAAAATATTGTGACCCGTAAATATTTTAGTAATATTTTAAAAAGTTTTTTGACTAAATTTGGTGTAAAGTTATATACACTAAATAATTTAGTCAAATTTTTAATTTAATTTTTAATGAAGAATTGGAAGGCTAGTATATCACTGTTAAAAACTTATACGAATAGTCAATATAAATTATATAAATAAAATATATATTATTCTTGATTTATTCTAAATACATTTAAAACATGAATACATATATGTACAAATAATTTTTAGAAGTAAAGTAATATAAATGATAGAAAATCCAAAAACAATAATAATGGTACCTTGGGCCGCAGTAATCTTTAGTATAATAAATAAACCCATTAAATTTGTATGATATCTATGTTTCCAATCAAACTTTTAAAGTTTTCTTATTCATGTTTCCAAACACTTTATTTTTGTACTTCAGCTTTAATAGTATAGATGTTGTGGATGCTCTAACAAAGTGATATCATTCTCCCGGCCGTGTATGTTTTATATATATTGCACATTTCATATACGTTGATGCATTATGGTATTAAGAACTATGAATTGACTTCTTGGAGTCTCAGTAATACACTTACCTTCTAGCAAATTTGATCATGATTTGGCTAAGCATTAATTTTGAGAGGCAAGGAAATAGACAACTTCTGGAATTTATGATCACTAAAAATAAATAAAATCAAATAAACTGTTGAAAATATACATGAGCTAACCACTGCTATACTTGCAGGGGCATGATTAAACGTTAATGACCAGCTGGCGCAAGACTCAGATGCAAATCTAACCCTAAGCCATCATCAAAAGTGGGTTCCACTTCTCTTGCAAACCTATTCACTGATACTCTCGGCCCGTGGGCCTGAGCATGTCTCACCGGAGGTCCATTAAATCCAAATCCAAAATCATACGATCCTCCACCCGCACCATCCTGAATCACGCAGCCATGCGTCACATGGAGCTGAGAGGATGGTAGACGTGGAAGATACATCCAAGAACCTCCTCCCCCCGGCGGAGATACGGCGGATGATAGGAGATGAGGTGTAGGAGCAAAGGCGGAGACCATTGGATTCCGTATAAACGGAGACGCTGATCCAGCGTTAGAGAAAATAGCAGCAGCGTTTCGTGTGGCTTGAAGCTGAGCACGTTTGAGCTGCTGACGCTCTTTCTTGTGAGCGTTTTGGTGACCGCCTAACGCTTGTGAGTTACCAAACTCCCTGCAACAGTATTGACACTCGTACTTACGTTCTCCTCCTCCGCCTTGGCTTCGTACACCACCACCACCACTTCTTCCGGAAGATCCTGCCGGAAAGTCGCAAGGCTCTGGCGATAAGGATGATTGGTTAGTTTTCACCCATTGGTCAGAGAAATCTTCTTGTCCGTCTACGCTAAATCCAAATAGCTTTAGACGAGAACTAGATGTCTTTGAACTAGCATCAAGATCCTCCATTAAATATGTAGAATTATGTTTTAGAGAGAGATGTGTGTTTTAATAAGAGGAGGTGGGATGAGTGAAGACATATATAAGAAATGTTTGAACAAAGTGAGATGTGGACTTTGTACAGTAACATGGGAGACACTGTGCAAGACTGCAAGTGTGTGTGAAAGATATAATTGTTTTTTTCTGGTTACAACATTCTTTCATATTGCTTTTTTTTATTTGGTATCGAACATCCCAAGAGGAAAGAAAAAGAACAGTGAAAGTGGGAGTTTGAGGAACACACGAACCAAGAAGACATAGATCACATGACCCACTTGGATTTCATTTGTCTCCTTTTTTTGTTTCAACTTTAGGAATTTTTGAATTTCGGCTACACTTTTATTGTGCGTAATTTCTAGTTCTCTTTGAGTAAAATCATATGTTTCCACCTACTTTTTATTTTATTTGATTCTAATCTTTTATTTTGGTTTAGGTTTTCTAAAATTTACAACTACATACCTAATATGATTTACTTTCCGAGAATAATTTCTGTTTCATACGGAATAGGACTTACTTTCAGAACTTTTCAGAAAAGAATTTTTAGAAAATGGAATAATTTTAAACAGAACCAGAACCGTTTTTTTTAATTAATAAATAATTCAAATAAAAACGAACACAAGTTTTAAAAACATATCAGTAAGACGAATCCCTAATGCCAAAACCATATATAGACCTTGAACAAAGAGGATGACATAAACAACAGAAAAGGAGCAGAGAAAATAGAATTCCCATACAAAATGTGAATAAAAACATTAAAAGAGATGAAAGATAATCGAGGAGTTTGATATGTGTGAGAAAGCAAAACCGTCCGCATTACATTATCGTGCATATGGATAATAGTTTCATAATTATTGTTATTTCTTTCCTATTCTATAGATATCTGATTTTTTTATTTGTTTCGCTGAGAAATATGGATATCTGATTTTTCAGATATTCAGAATTTTTGTAGAGATTTATAAATATTTACAGATATTTCATGTAATTTATTTAATGTAAGTAAATTTAAAAAATAATATATTTTTCCAAAATTATCTTTAACATAATATAAGATAAAAATTAATGAAATTATATGTTAAATAATATTATATACAATTATACATTTAAACTCTGTAATTAATTATATATATATATATTTGTATAAAAGTCAGAACAAATCGGATCTCCAACTTTAAATTTTTAGTATTTTTTATTTGCTCATTTTTAATAGATATCCAATTTTGATTTTGTTTTAATGATTTACGAATATTCAAAAAAATTCTATCTAAACAAATAATGACTATAATCAAATTTAATGAATAAAATGTTCAGTCCTATGTATCCAATATGATCTTCAGAGTCCATCAAAGTAAAATAACTTACATTTTATCATATATCATTACAAGTCGTTTCTTTTTACATCCAGTACTGAATCTCTTTAAGTATGTCTATATAGAAAAATGTTTACATGTGCCATACTTTAAAGTTACAGAGAATTAAAGTCAAAAATATTGTTAGTAATCATAAGTTAGCTTGCATTCAAAACTGATACTTTTCTGTTTAATTAACTTATATATTTAAATCTTTAATCTTTAATCATTAACCAAGGTTGAGACTATTCATGAAAGAAGAAAAAAGCATGACTAGAAAATTGGGAAACATATAGTTTCATAAACAATGTGTTTCATGATTAATATAGTATGTTTCATGAATAGTCTCAACCTTGGTTAATGATCACTGTTAAAGATTTAAAAAGAAAAAAATTATCCAGTCTAGATAACTAGAAATTTGTGAATAAATTGTTAACCAAAATTATTTATTATGTCCGTACTTAACTTCAGTATTATCAATCATTTACATCTTATACGTAAATAAACAGAAAACATGTTAGAGATCTCTTGTTTTAACAAAATCATGATTTTATAACCATATCGTATCTAATATATTAAAAGAGAAATCATGACTCTTTTAATATGTGATTTTTAAAATGATCATCTATTAAAATTTATCACATTACATTATTCAATCATTAATTAATAATTTTAAAATTAGTTACTTATAATTTTCTGCTTACCATAAAATTTTATAGGACTAACAATAATTAGATAACTCATTAGATTTATAGATAGTATAATAAGACACATGTTTAAATTAAATAGATATAACTTAGTGTTGTAATAGTATACCTTCATATGTTAATTATTTATATATTTGTCGAAACTTTTAAAATTATATAGTTTATTTTCAAAATAACAAAAATCATAATTTTCTAACAATGATTAATCTATACTACCTTTAACCAAGGAAACATTTTTTAAGTTATATAATTTTTATTTTTTTAAAAAACTAAATGTTTAATTATTTACTCCATAATATAAAGCTAAAAGTTTTATTTTTGTTAAATTTTCAAAATTTGAGTAATGTTACAATATCTTTAAAGTTGGCAGTAAAACAATATTTTACCAATTTTTACACATATTTACGACTTTAATAATGAAATAATAATCCAAAACAATATATATATATAAGAAGATACAAATACATGTGAAGGTTTGAAACAATATATTCGATGAAAACTAATATATGACAAAATTATTACCTTTTAAAAATTGATATACACACCCCATATATATATATATATATTAAAATATATATCAATTTAGGAGTGAAAAAATAGTTTTAAGAAATTGAAAACAAAATATTTCTATAAAAATAAATGAACATCTAAACAGTCGCGCGAGTCGAGATCTAGTAATATTTTTAATTGAGTCGTATTACATTATGGTCCTGGTCCGGGTGGTTATTATTATTATATGTCTCTGTACAGATGTTATAATTTTTAAATATACATGTGAAAGAATTTTCAGTTTAATCGCTGATTAAGTCAGATGGCTTTGGAAAAGGTATCTGAAGAATGAAGATAAAGTCTAAGAATATGGAGTAATCACTTTTTTGTTTCTTCATCATTCCATTCTCCACTCTATTTTGGAGTAAAATATGGAGTGGGGTTGGAGATGCTCTAAGTAATGTGAATGTTTATAGGTCAATTACAATCTTTGAAATCTGGGTTAGTTAAAGAAGAAAGATGTACGATCGAAATAAAGTTTCAGATGTTAACATGTCCACATATTACGTGTCAAATGATGAATCCTTGTTTCACGAGTTCGTTTGCGTTATTTACGTTACTAAGGGCACACTCACACTTACTTTTTAATTGAATACCCATCCTCAATTCCTCATATACTGTACATATAATTATACGATTTCTAATTATACAAACATACAAATAAAGATGGCTCACAGATCTGCGAATCTTATTAACTCAACGAAAAGCTAATTGTGTGGTTTCAGATTTGATTAAGGCTTTTCTTTGTACAAAAGTAATAATTATGTAAACCCTTATAATCTAAAGTCTTTGTTAGGGGCTGGAAAAATGTCCCATCTTGTCTCCCTTTTAATAATATAGTTCCATTCGAATCTGCATTAGTTATTCATTTTCGTTGGTTGCTTCCATATATCTTCTTCTAATTTCTTCTCACAACAAACAATCACTCACAAATCACAATAACTCCGTAGTCAAATTGATTTTGAGTTCATATGATGAGATGACATGATTTTATAAATTACTAGGACTGACCCAGGTTTATCGTTGAAATTTTAATTATATATGTTATATGTTATTTTAATAAATAAATATTATAATCTATTATAAAAATAAGAAGTTATACAATTATATAAAAAAATTTAATTATTTATTTTTTGTTGTCTTTCGAATTTCAAAAATTTTAATATCCAAATGTTATATGTCATAGATTATCAGCTTGTGTTTTGCGTAAAATTGTTGTGTATTGTGGCTCGTCTCGACTTTTATTTCTTTATTTGTTGTGTGTTATTAATTATTTTTTTTTGTAAAATATTATTTGGTTATTTATTATTCTTTGTTTACGGTTTGAATCTTTTTTATAATTATTCTAAATTTGATCTTATATACCTAAAATGGAAAGAAATTTTAGTGTGTGAATTTTTTTTTCTTAGGTTTGATGACACGTAAAGGAAAACAATATGATAATAGATTTTTTGTCTTTCCAAACTTATAGACTTCTTTATTTATTTTGAATATGTTTAAGTATTTTGTAATTTTACTTAACTATTAAATCTTTACTAAATTTTTCATTAAACACAGAAAAAAACTTTTCATTAAACTCAAGTTATATTACATAGCATAATTAAATTTTAATTAGTCTAATTTATATCTTACTAATTTTTGGTTTTTAAATTATTTTCATTTATGTATTAATTATTAATTGTTTTTACATCATTTTGTATTCTAGGTTAATCATAAATTTGGTAGTAAAAATAGAACCAAAATCTATGAGATTCAGTATTTTTATTTTCGTTAGTATAAATCTAATGAAATATATAAAGATTAATAGCGTAAATTGTTTTATCCTCTTCCTCATGAATTTTATTTATTATAAATATAAATTTATTTATTTTAATTATATTATATATTTTTACTAAAATATTATTTTATTATAATTATAATAATTTTACTTATTATAATTATAAATTTATATGTTTAAACATTTATGCCCCTGATCACTTTAATCTCCATTATTTAAACATTACACATGTGATTATGAATCCAGGTGGTTAGATCTCTTGCTACCTTCTAAACCTGGTAGTTTCTTTTAAAACTAATCTTTTATTTTATGTTTAGGAGTTATTAGGAACAATAACCCATGTTGGACCCATTTTGTGGAACACTACTGCAAAGTTTCCAGAATTTGTAAACAAGCTTGCATCTCCTTGGGATGGCAGACAGATTCACCAATTTTGAGTCTTAAGACAGTTGGGAACTGGTTTCACGAGCAATTGGCCAAATAAAATTTTGTCCAAAGCTTTATGGGCATAACTTTTACTTTCTGTAGATTACTTCACAAAACAACTTTGGAATATATGGCATAAAAATAAAACTACTTTAGCCAAAGACTTGAGCACTGAAATAAATGATATACTAATGAAAAAATATTTAAAAAATAAAAATTTATCCGCTCGTTTGCTTCGAGTATGAAGTTTATATATTGGTGATGGGGTTTTGTCAATTCTTCTGGGATACTTGACCATGTTTCTATATTTCCATTTTAAATTTAAAATAGATTGAGATAAAACTTTATTCCACGTGAAAAGCTATAATCAAATTTGTATATGAATATATATTTTTTTCTCTTGTTAGAATGTGATAAAAGAACATACAGACCAATGGAGTGGAACTGTACTCAGGTGGGTTCGATATTATATATTTGGGAAAAATCCATAAAAATATTCTAGCTAAATTTTGTAAAGTTTTCAATATTAAACAATTTTGTTAATTTAATATCCAAACGATTATTTAACTCATTTTAATACACTTACCTTTAAACTTTATTTATTTTAATACCTAAATTATGCTAATTTAATCAAAAATATTAATAAATTTCAAAAAAACTTAAAAATCATCAAAATCGCAAAAAATCTTAAAAATTTCAAATTTTATTTAATTGATAAGAATAAAATTAACAAAATTGTGAATAATATTTCAAAATTTAGAAAAAATTAATTATAAATATAATAAATAAATTGTTTTACAAATTCAGAAAACAAACGAAATTCGACGAAATTATAAACTTCCACCATTTCACAATGAGATAATAAAAAATAAAAAAATCATATTCTTCAAATCATGTATATAGTCTGAAAAATATGTCTGGGGCTGTATTATATCATTCCACGATTTAGTTTCTCACAAATGCGGTTATAAAACTTCAGAAGAAAACCTAAATAAGTATGAAATTTATCTCTCTTACCGCATGTATAATCAAAGAGCAATGAGCAGTAACAAAACTTGCAATGCGTTAGACAATAAACATATTTTCCATTATGAAGAAGTGACTGGTTATGAACCAAAAATTGCTGACAACCAATAACCAAATGGTTTGACAATCTGAAAATAGTGATTGATGTTTAATCTCCTGAAGTTAACAATTTGTCTTTTTTTAATTTATTTACATGTCCCAGCAAAAGTGTTATTATTTGACAAATAGAAGTACTAGCTGTCTATTTCTTAATACTCGTGTCTAGCACCATTACGATATCCTTATCAAGTCTATCAATTTTGACATAATGATGTTTATATTATCATTATAAGATCTCGAAGATCAAAATTATGGTCCACCAAAATCTTATTAGCAGCGAAATTCAACCAATGGGGTTTATAATAAACTAATACTTTAAAATAAAGTCGCTCTCACAAAAGGGATAATTATAAAACTATAGTGTAGCTTTTGGTTCACAAATACGAATTATTTAGCCTTAACCCACACATCAGAAAGACTCCACAACGAAAAAGAGGTTTTAGATTTCAGATTACGGAAGAAGAAAAAACCAAAATTAGAATAATCTAAGTGGGACGTTCATCACAAAGCCCGATCATAAGTTCCAAGGCTTCCAAGTGACACTTAATCGAACAAATTAAATATTTTACTAATAGTAAATACACCGTTTCTTAAGGCATGGGGGGGGGGGGGGGTTTAGGCTACAAACTTATAGATTAATCAAAGTGGGACATGTCAAGTGGTGACATGAACATGTACGTACACACACACATCTAAAATCTTAATGCTACCTTAATATTCGCTAGGGAAGTTGAAAATTTATAATTTTATCTAGGATGAATCTACCACGGACATGAAACGCAGACGTTGTTTAAAACTGCTTTTATAGTTTTTGTGCAAAACTATAAATTTAAGGAGAAAAAGTATGTTACAAAATATATACCTTAACTTATAATTATCTTAAATATTTTTTTAATATATGTCATCATTTAAATTAATAATTATATATGTCAAAACTTTTGATATATTATAATTACCATATATGTTATATTCATGTTTAATGCATCTAACATGAAAGATATCTCCAACACCTCATAATGATAAATGCAAATGCTATGCACTTAAATGTTTTCTAAATGCAAACTAAATGATCAAAATGGGGTTATGAGAATCAAAATAATGGTGAAAAGTGAAAACAATGCAAAATCACAAGACATCTTGTTGTCTTGTATTGCTTTGGGTTCATCTCCTTTGAAGCTTGCAAGTCCCCTTGAAGCTATTGCAATTGGATTTTGGAATTACAAAAAGAGAATTTAGGTTTCATCTTACACAGAGCTAAGTGTTCTCTTCTCTTATATGTATTTGGTACTTATCATATTCATAAGTCTCGACTGTTAAAAAATTCTCAACATGGCAGACATTCAAGAAAAAAATTCAAAACATTTTATGAACATACAAATAAGTAACATATATAACACCAAAATCACATTCTCAAATTCCGACCAAAAAAAAAAAATCACATTCTCAAATAAATACTACACTATTTCACACTAAAAAGTACCAGATAACAAGAACATAATCCCAAATAATACTAGACGCACAAAGATCACCACAACCACAAATATCCCAAAAACATCACAAAAAAAAATAGAAGATATAATTTCAAACCAAACACTACACAAACACCATCAATAACACAAACTATACATGTACACCAAAACCATATATTCTTTTGGTCGTCCCTTTATGTTTATTTCTTTTAGTCTTGATAATTATCTGTCTATATTATTTTTCAATACCTTAAAAAAGCGGGATGGCTGACAGGGCCGCGTGTGTCCATGTTTGTTTTCTCTCTTCCACCAAGTCTTACAGTCTGAATCTTAGTAATTTCAGGTAGGAAAGTTAGTTTGGATTGTTGAATATGTATAGCGGTTGCTGCGGGAGAGTAGTTGAAGAGAAGGCAGTCATTGTGCCGGTTTAATTTTCTCTCCTCCACGAATTTTTGCAGCTCAAGCATATACTTGTTATGTTACAATTTTGGTTTGTATTTGCTGTGAGAGATTGGCGGAAGTGATCAGGGACAAACTTGGGACAATGTATGTCATACTATATACTTTATAGATAATAATACTTTTTTTCCGGAGTCTATGAACTATCAAGTCACTTTATTCATATAGAGTATTCTTATGATGCTTTATAATACATTTTACTTCTTAACAACTAGTGTGAAAGTTCTCACAGACTAGTGATGATGGAGGCTTATCCAGGGGAAAATCCAGAGAAATATTTGACGGTAAGTGTGAGTAACTAGTTTCGTTTCAAAACAATATATGTATATATAGTGATTCTGTTTTCTGATTGAAATTTTTGTTTGTAGAATCATGGAATCTTAGCCACGTCAATAAACTTCAACTACACCCTCCAGTGTCCTTTGCCGATGGAACGTTTTTAATGCAACCAGTTATACCACTTATATCATTATTAACAACTAAAACACATAACACAATAGTATACAAAACACTAAACACGAATCGCAAAATCTCAAACACACGCATATCACACACACACAAAAAAAATCCTAAACACATTGAACAAATGCAATAACGCATCATCTAGATCACTTACGCACGGGAAATAACACACACCAGAAGTCATTAACACACAGAAAAATTACAAACTCAAAATCATAAAGTTGAATCGAACACAGTTCAACATATAACTAAAACAGTGTTCGAGTGGTTGGAGCGGGAATGCGTTGAAACAGGGGTACTCACATGGCTCCCCTTGACCCCGGGATTAGTCGATCGGATCTCTGGACCCGTTGACCAGCTCGGGTGTGGTTAAGTGATATTCGGAACCGGATTACCCGAGCTATAAAAAAACAGTTATGGTACTATGGTTCTACCCTCTTTCTTATCCCCTTTACATAACTTATAAAAAAATCAGTTTTGCTTGTAATTTTTCTTTGTTTGGATTTTCTTATCTCTTTGCATCATTTGTAATTATTTTTCTTTAATATTATAAATTTTGCTTCTGCTTGTAATTTTGTTTTTCATGTTTCATAATTCACATTATAGTAATGTAATAAATTAATTGTAATTACGAAACTACAAAATATTTTTGTTCACGAGTATGTATATGTACTTGTTCTTGTTATGACTTCATTAAGATGTTTTGCTATACGACTCAAATTAATTTGAGAAACTACAAATACCATTTTCGCCTTTAAAAAAAATTGTGCTAGATATATTCGTTCATGATGTTCTATATAATATTCAATAACAAAAGCCAAAAATATCAATGTTTCCATCTTCAGCATTTAGTTTATCGTGTGCACCAATAAGCTGAAGGCATCAAAACAGAGATTAGCTAAACATGAAGAACTCAAAGGCCTTTCTTCGCCAATGATGAGAAAATGTAAAAAATTGTTCGTCTTTGTTAGGAATTAAAACAAATCATTAGTTGCCAGGATACGAAGTTTGATAAAAAGCATAACTATTTTTGTTCAAATAGGAAAAAAATAGAAAAGAGAAACTAATGTTCTCCAAAATGGTTTACAATGTCACATAAGAAAGACAAGAAGATTGGTTGTACATTACTCAGGAATAGTACCAAGCTTAGGACGCCAAGCTCGCTGGAGAAGCCGCTTGCTGAACCCGAACCAAACCGGTGCTGCACCCGATTCTGATTCCAAACTAGCAGCTGCGTTCACTTTAGCTGCCATGGCTGCAAGAACTTCTTCTTTTGTTTTCCCCTTTGGTCTCTCCTTCTCTTCCTCTTCATCTTCTTCCTCTACGTCAGATGAAGAGACGAATAAGTCTCTCAGTTTGCGTCCAGCTACGTCTTTATCAGCTGCTAATGAACGAGCCTTATGAATTAACGGCTGATCTCGACGGCTCTGCGGTATAAGACTCAGAAGCATCTTTAAGGTTGTCTTCTTACGACGAAACTGTACCAAAGGACTTGTCCTCGGGCTTGGAGTTCGTGTCGGGCTCTGTGGAACTTCACATTGCGTCGCTAGGAACTTGAATCTTTGCAACGTAGCCATAGGACTAGGGAATTTGAAAAAAAAAAAAATTGAGTTAATAATAATGGTGCATGCCTCGTTATTATAGCTGTTTTCCAAGTGAGAATCAAATTAAACCGTCCTTTTTATTCTTTTGAAGCAGTCTCTCTTGTCAAAAGTGTGTCCTTGAATAGAATGTCGTGGCCCTTCAGGACGTAGTCTCCAACGAAAAATTCCAAATGTGCATTATTGATGGTCTTTGCCAGAAAATTTGAAAAAGAAAAAGTGTTTTATTTATTTTGTTCTTTTATCTTTCTCATGTTATTTGCACTTTTACTTTCTTCAGTCTGCATAGAAGGAATCGTTTTGCTCTCGTTTCTACTCCTTTTTGATAGGAAAAGAAAAGGAAATCATGTGTGAGATGATGAGAGCCACGTGTTTCTTGTCTTAGATTCATCTTCCTAGCTTTAAAAATTCTTGTCTTGGTACTGAGTTTTTAGAGTGAGACAATAGTACCTTTCGTGATGGTGATGGCTAGTAGTTAATTCGTGTGCCATTGATTTGTAGAATAGTTCTCCATAGTAAATAACTAAACAAACAAACACGTTCTTAGAGAGACTGCATATTGAGATCCGTGTGTATATAGTGGCTCTGATTATAGACCCATTCTTTTTGGGGTGTTTTGACTTTGAACTCTAAACAGAACTAGAACTAGGACTAAATAATTTCGAGTCTTATTAACTATGGCATGTAGAAAAGGTTCAAGAGATGCTTTGCTGAAAAGATAAGGAGAGAAAGATGAAGCGAGTGACGGGAATAGAATTATGAAGTTCCATAGGTTAAATATTTAGGCAAAAATAAATTAATACCTGATAGATAGGGTCTATGAGAGAAAACAAAGAGGAATCGATATGTTGTGGTGGAATAAAAGATGACATGGCATCATAAGTGTCACTTTATTATGTTTTGATTGGTAGATACTTAAGATGACGAGATAATTTAGAATTTGATTTTCATACCTTTTTGTACTGTAAATGCTGTTTAATTAGCTATTGAAATTCAATCATTTCTGAATAATTTTTTTTTAAAAAAATTCATAACATCTGGTTGGATTAGACGTTCACTAATTGCCTTTTCTTTTAAGTGGAATCATATATTATTAAAAATTATGAGAAATATTATACACGATGTTACAGCCGATACATCTACTTGCTTTATGAAAAATCATGTAACGTCATATAGTATCTCTGTTTAACACTGTTCTTTGTACCATGTTATTAGCCTCTTATAACATTTTCTCTTTAATTTGCATAACTTCATCTTTTCTACAACTTGAAACTCATATCTTCTGCCATAAAGTATTAATGAATCGTTAGACAAACCATTGGATCAAATGGAGCTTCCACTACTGATTATTTTTTGTTTTATTAACTTGGGTATCCTAGAAAGTCTAAGTTAATCCCAAAGAAAAATATAGTCCACAAATAAATTTTTTCCTTCCGGATATTCAAATATGCCTAAAACATGGGTCTATGTCCGTATAAAGTGACTAGAAATAATTATGACTTAGTTTCACACATCAAATGAGATCGAAACTGAAATGTTAGCATTCTTCTGCCTCTTTATCACTCAATCACAATCATCCGATCACAACTGATTGTCTTTAATGTGAGCTTTTTCATTTAGATTATGTTTTCTAATGTTAAAAATCAATTTTTTTTTCTTTTATTTATTTATTTTCCTTCACGCTGCGCAGGCCCATTACTTTGAACCAGAATCGAACACAATACTTGACCTCCACAAAGCAACAATCTTAGCTGTTGGACTTGTGTAAGAAAGGCTAAATAAGGGCCAAGCTAATGGGTCATACTAATGGTAATAAACGCTCAAATTTGATATGCAGCAAATTTAAGAATTAAAAAAAATCAAGGGGATTAGACAAATATATGCGTACAGATATTGATGCTACATGAAACACACACAAATGATATATTAGTTATGAATCATACAGAAAATCAAACTTAGTTCTCTACTCAGTGATTTATCTTTTTTTTTGGTCAAAACTTTTAGCTTAGTTTGGGACAACAAAGAGAAAACAATAAGTGGCCTAATTTCATATTATAGATCCCATGGGCCGTGGTCAGTCTTGTTACATTTTAATCTTCAGTTTTATTTTTAAAATGGGTGTACAAGCCCAATGATCTGCTAGGAGAAAAATAGAGGAGTTTGTATTTTTCTAAAACGTTTGGTCAAGTATGTTATTATAAATGATGAAAAATATTACATAGACGATTATACATATTACAATTCTACCTATCTCATGTAATTGTTTTTTTTCATAACATGTATAATTTGCATTTTCTGATATTTTAATCCCGGTTTATTTAGTGTTGAAACATTAATGAGTATTTTAGTCAAACCATTAGACTTAAGAAACTTCCACATGGAGTATATGATTTATAAATTACCCTTATGGCCATATGATTTTATAGAAGAAGTGTTCTTTCTCTAGTTATCATTATCTATATATATAAAGTAATCTTTTCATCCCTCATATGATACCATGTAACTAATTCACTCTCTCCCGTCATGCCACGTGTCATGATCTTTCGGTACGCAACATTTTCTTAAGAGCACTCGTTGTGATGTTGGGTTTATCCACCGATCTAGACCTTAAGGCTAAAATTGATTAGACATCATGTTTAATTTGAATCATGCCTCTAATACGCCGACGTCAAGCTCTTAGGGCTCTTGACGAAATCTGCTCTCCGCCGACACGACGATAGATCGGGGGAGCTCTGCTAATCGGTTTGTTTCCTCTTTGTTGCGCCAATCACGGATCCGTTCCATTTATCGTCTTAATAACTCTCCCCCCCCCCCACAATCTCGACATCAATATGATGTAAGCTACTAAGAATCGTTTATCTGCAAGTATAAATAAGTATGCTTCGTACTCTGAAAATCATCATATCTCACTAGTGGCTATGATAATTCTAGAGTGTTTCTTTCCGATTTGAAGTCCAGCGGGTGCTTCTCCATTGTCGAGGGGAGGCTGTTTCGTTTCTGGGAGGCGAGGAAGGATAGGCGCATTGGGGAGCTCATATGGCTTGATATGCTCATGGTGAATGTGAATGTAAGTCATCTTTTTTTCTATGAATCCGGGATCGTTTGTTCTCAATTTCCAGAATCTTTTCAAGGTTTTATTTTAATATTCTTTGTGTTATGAGATGACTAGTGATCTTTTTGAGATTCGTGGGTGAGTAAATCACTGACTATATGTCTTCAATGTGGATGCAAGAGACACTTGTTAATCTCTTTCTTCGCAACTATCTACTCTACAACCTTTTCGGTACGTAGCTTTCTATATTATTGTGTATATTGTTTCTCTGAACTCTCATTTATGCTAACCTTTCCACAGAAATTTCTTTTTCCATTCAAATATTGTGTTTGTATGTATCTTATGATGGGCTTCACTCGCCCATTATGTTCTTATATTTACATTGTGTTTAGAAAACCGCTTCATTACAGGTATATGAGCTGACAAGAATATTACATACCAAATACCAAAGTCTGTTATTATTTGTTTCATTCACCAACTCTCTGTTTGAAATAGTTTTATCATGTAACGACGCCGGATCTCCAAAGTTGGTTGAACATCGATGATGACACCACGGTGGCGTCTTCTTCCGATAGAGGTTGGGTGAATGCGAGCTCGGCGAAGCCATTAAAATTTTGTAGAAAATGCATGAACATGAATGCCAGCCAAACTCTTTGAGTTGTAAGCTTCTTTGCAAGGAGAAAAAAAAATGTAGTGGGCAGTCGAGTATTTGAAAAGAATGGTCTATTGTGGTTGTTACCTGGACATTGTAAACAGCTTTGGACAAAGACAAGAAAGTTAAAGATGTGGTTGAGATACATACTTAATCAGCTTAATAGCAAGGGACGTTCCTGTCTAATCAGTTATAATACTAACCACTCAAGATTACAAAATTCTGATCTCATGTGTTCAGACCTACGTCCTCTTCATTGGTATCAAAAGATAAAATAAATTCTCATGGGATCAACTTCTGCGAGGGACAACTCTCTATCTCAGTAAGCATTAAAATGTATAAAACCCTTCCTTAGAATTTGACAGAAAGATTTTGACGCAAATTTACAGAATTACAATCGAGCTATGTGACTATGTCTCTAGACTCTCAACTTAGCCCTCATGCATCCTCTGGAAGAACATCAATCGTTTTAAGACATATTTACCCTTTACTGCTTTAGTGAAGAAAAGCCTTTTGTTAAAAATACTGTTTCTATCTCTGCGCCTCCTACCCTTTCCATCTCTTTCTGCTGTTCTTGGGATCCTTCTACACATTAGAATCCGTGATAGGGGATGTGTTTAGCCTTTGAATCAATTTTAAAAACTAAAATTATGCAGATGAGCAAAATGTACATGGATGATTCCACACTGTTAAGCACAGTCTCGAGGAATTTGGTTTCATGGTTATATATGTTTCTCTTAATCTACATAGATACATTGATAACAGAATTTTGTACGGCCGTCACATAGTTCCTGATTTTGTAAAACCTCACATTCTATGGTCCCTTTGCACATCATTCTATGTGTCATTTCATGTATCTAGTAGCAACGTCTAGAACTAAAAATGTAAATACGGATACTAAAACAAACATATAAAACCACAAAAAAAAAATTATAAAAACTTTAAGCGACTTATTGTTATAGTTTAATTAGAATATAAATGAGAGAGTAAATAATTATATTTTCAAAACTTAATAATAATTAGACAAGTATATAATTTTTAAATGATAGTAAATAAATAGTTAATTTTTGTATAGTTTTATGAAATTTACTTTTAATTAAAAGTAAATTAAATATTTTAAATTTTATATTATTAATTTATTTATACGTCCTCAGAAGGACGGGTTAACCCTAGTATGTAATATAAAAAAGTATACTACATATAGCCAAATTGAAGGTATTTATGAAAGTGATATGCTCATCAAGTGGGGTGTGATAGTGATGGTAAGGGGAC